GGAAAATAAACAGATGGTTAGAAGGGACTTCAAAAGTTGATTCGAGGGAACCAGCGACTTAAGTAAAATTAAATGAGAAACAATCCATTAATACAATGAAACAATACTATTTGACTATAGAAGAAATTAAGGTTATTTAGGAGCAATATACTCAGAAATTACTTGTTTTATACTATAATAGAGGATATAAAAGAACAACAGCTTCTATTGAATAAAAAAGAGGCCGAGTCTGATTTGAATGTGGATCTGAACTTTTTAAAAAGCCATATTATAAAAGTGACACAGAAAAGATGATATGATGAATTTACAATGTTTTAATAATTAAAAAGGATATACAAATAATAAAAAAAAATTATTTGGAACGTTTTTTTTAAATCTTGGATTTACAAAAAGGATGGGTTAAACTGCTAAAGCTGATCCTAAAAGGAGATAAAGAGAAAATGATAAGAAATCAACATATAGGATTTTGACAGGATTAAAGATCAAGCTTTTCAAAATTAAGCAGGACTATAAAGTGAAATTTGACGGGGATTAAAATATGTATTGGTATGTTGTTATTTCTGATAGCCATTAATGAGAATTTTTTTGGGACCAGGACCAAATGACAAGGTCTTAAACATTTATTTATAAGTGGGAAGAGATTTATTTTATTTCTTAAAGAAAGCGATTGGATTATAAAATGGATTTCTTTGAAGGTTAAAATATGTATCTCACTATTTCTGGTAGTTCTCAAACTTTTATTGATCAATACTGAAATATGCATTTTTACAATTTAATTAATAAGGGAAGAAGAGATGTTTTTTAACTGAAATATTAGAGAAGGCGTTACTGAAATGATTTATACTTTTCTGGAGGGTGGGGGAGTCATCTTTAATATATATATTTCTATCTCTTTGCACCTTTTTATACTTTTCTGTTTCTAGTAATATTTGATCTTTGTATTTGTAAACTTTATTAAAATTATTTTGACTCTAGCCGTTCTGTTAACTCCAAAACTGAGCCAATCCTTTATCCTTGTCCATTATTGTCCTAATGCTATCCATTTAATTCCTGGAGGCTGGTTGCCAGATACTGACATTTTCCCAACATGTTTAATGCTCTCTGGTTATGTTGGATATTGTATTTTGTCTTCATGATTTACTAATGCCTTTGTAATAATAAACCCCACCCCTTCTCACACACATCATCTGGCTTTTTAAAAGAAGGTTCTTCACGATATTAGGAATGTGTTAGTAGGGCTTCTAGCTGATTGCTAGTGTTTGAAGATATTTTATTTTATAGATTTATGTAAACCGCTTCATTTTTTTTTAAAGGTAATGTGTTTTAAAGATGGAGCAATATATTGGGGAGGATGTCTTTCCCTTGGGAGAACTGTGGATGAAGTTGGAGTTGGCATTTGAAACTGACTTGATGTTTTTCTCCAAGAAGGATGCAGGGAGTCAGTTCTTAAATATATTTCCATCTGAAAGCACATTTAAGCCTGCCCCTTAAGTTAATATTAATCATACTTCCCTTTTGCTTTTGAGAAATGTATAGTGTAGGGATAGTTAAATACCTGAATCGCTATCTCAGAGCACTAACAGATGCATGCATTCCTGTTTAGAGGATAAAGGGAGTTTGGATTTGTGTCCTCCCCTTCCAACACTTCAGAAGAGCTAGTTTGTCACCTCTTTTTGTCTCTCGTTCTGCCTACCACTCAACAACCACTCCTCACTCTGCCTTGTCTTGCCATGATGCAATGTGCGCACGACTCCCCCTGCCCCTTGCATACACGTGACCCCCTGCATGTGCACCTCACGCCTCTACATGTGACCCCTGTACCGCATGCCTCTGCGCATGTGCATGCAACTCCCCGCATGCCACACGCATCTCCCATGCACGTGTCTCCCATGCATGCATGGCAGATATCCAACAATCAGCTGGCTGGCGGGGGTGCTCATGCATGCACAGTGGGGCTCTTCCTGGTGACTTCTCATGTGCTGGCATAAGTGGCTCTCTGTGCCACTTCCAGCACGCATGCCATAGGTTTGCCATCGTGGTTCTAGTACTTGTTTTCTCTAGTTTCAAACCACTTAGCTGTTCCATCCCCACCAAATTTTCCATTTTTTCCTCTTGTTCAGTCCAGTTCTTCTCACTTTGCCAACCTAAATTTCCCTTCCATGTTTCACCTCTTCCTTTCATTTTGGTCCTGCTCTCTGGGACAAGGAGGAATCTTTTTTTTTTATTCATTTATTTTAGAAGTTCATCTCTGAGTTCTAAAATGTTTACCTTCACAATAGTTTTAATTGGCTTGTAGTTATTTCACTATATATAAGTCCAGGACCTGTTCTATTTACTACAGCTGTTGTGTTAGTATGATTGATATAAAGGAGCTTTTTTTAATGGCTGAATCCCTAGCATGTTGTTCATATGCGGTCCATATTAAAAGGTTTCTGTCACATTGTAAGGTCACTTATTAATTTTTAAATTATAAGGACTTGCTGGTTTGTGATGGTCATTAATACAATATTATGTGTTGTGAATCCTGCTTGCACATAGAATGAATTGTGATATTAATTAGAACTTTGACAAGTCCTCTCTGATAAAATGATGAGATTATTCGTAATTGATGTCACAATCAATTACCATTTAGTTCATCAAAAGCTTACTAACTGGTCTAGCCTTAGTGCTGGCCTCAGGATGTTGATGAGTGTGTGGCTGCCCTGCTAATGCTATTACTGTGACAGTAGAGCAAGATTTTCAGTCAACATCCTAAATTAACTCTTTTAAAGTCTATTAAAGAAATGAATGTCATACCGGTCCAACCTAACATCTCCATTTGGAGATTTTTGTCTGTGTTGCGGTGCTTTGGGGAGCCTATGACAGAGTATTTATTGGATTTCCTCCCCCTGAATCTAAAAGTGTAAAATTATTCATTTGCTGCAATTGTATAAAGTATGAAACTAGACTGTATTAATTGCACTGCTTTTCACCTACATATTTGTTCTTTAATTTTAATATTTCTCAGGTACCTAAAGGACATGTTTGGTTAGAAGGTGATAATCTCAGGAATTCTACAGATTCCAGGTGTTATGGTCCTGTTCCATATGGATTGATAAGAGGACGGATTTGCTTTAAGGTATATTCCTGCAATCTAAAATGTGTTAATTTAACAGTTGTTATAGTCTTTGGGCTTAAGCTATGACAATGAGACATGTTCATTAGCTAGTGAAACACAGGGACCAAGGTGTTAAAATGTTACAAAGAACATGATCTTCTTAAACGAGATTGTGTTTAAGCCTTTACACAGTATTAGTTACATATCTTCCTATATAAAAATATGGATGCACATACACGCACACATACATACCCACACACACCATCTCTCCGTCTCTCAACAATTGGTTTGATTTTCTCTTTTCACTATAAAAACAATATGTTAAACCATCATTTTTTTATTTTGCAACAAATACAACAATGCTAAATATACTAGTTTGGACCCAACAATTCAAACAATAAGGCTTTCCTTCCTGCTTCCCAAATATTACAATGTCTTCCTTGGTAGCAGCATATGATGTGATATATAGAAACCTGCCTTATGCACACTTGGAAGGGTTTTTCACTTCCACAACAGGTACTAAAATACCACTCATTCCACACCTTCAGCGGCTCCATTGCTTGCTTCTCTTCAGTTATTCCTATGCTGACTACCCTTTTCTTTAACCAGTTATTGATTCCTAAGAGGACCTGAACTCTTAATTCCTTGTTTGCTTAGTTGATTCAGAAATCCTCAGTGAGGGATTTGCTAAAAGCTTTTCAGAAATCGAAGTATAAAATCTTCCAGATCAATATTTACATGTTCACAGTGTCAAATAACATAAATGGCTGTAGAATAAGGCTTTTCCGTATAGAAGCCCGCCCTCTCTTCTTCAATATTAGGTGTAATATGCTTTTAGTGTGATGGATCATTTTATAAAAATGCTTTTATGCCATTCCCCCCTAAACAGAAGACTTTAATGATATATTTTTAAAAAATATTTCAGCTTCTTGCCTCATTCTGGGTATATTTGATCTGCATTGTTTCTTATACAATTGTAGTTTGCTGGTTAACTCATATCTCATAATATTTATTCCTAATTCACCTATTTTGTTTAGGTGAATGTCTGCCTAAAGATACCAATGATTTTTTGATGCATGCAGAAAGAGAATAAATCCACCTTAATAGTCATATATACATCTTAAAAGTAATGATAATTGATTATACATATTCACATTATCTGAAATGAGTGGCCCATAAGGTTTTTCCATGGACCGGAGGGGGTGTCATGTTGCATGCTGTTTGGTTCCTGTAGATGGGGCTTCGCTTGCTTGCACGGCCCAGTTTCTGGCATGCCGTAGCCCTATGCCGGTCCATGGACTAGGGGTTGGGGACTCATCTTAATTAAAATATTTAGCCTTAACAGAAAAAACGTGAGAAAAATAAACCAATATAAACATTCTAATTTTCTGAACTATCTTATAATGTATCACCTGAAATCTTGATCAATCACCATTGAGTATGTATTTTTGCCATGACGTGTATCCAGAGAAGCAGTAGGCAGAGATTGGAACTACAAATCAATCCAGATAATTCCAAATACTTTATTAAATAAACATATTTCATTCTAGAAATTCTCCCAACACTGTAGTTTAAGTGAAGAGCATATGTAAGTCTTACCTGAGCTACTAGCCTGTTTAAAATGTTCAATTCATTGCATTAATACTTCAGCTCAAATAGAGAAAAGCTAAGGGATGACTGATGCTCAACATGTTAAGTAACTGTTTGTTTTATTTCACAGCTTTGGCCTTTGACAGATTTTGGGTTTCTGCGTTCAAGTCCCAACAGTCACAGGATTTGTAAAGGCTAATTGGTTTATGTTATCATCTCTTTTTTAACCTTTCAAATGTGATTTATATTTTTTTATATTCAATAAATGATGTATCATGATTCAGGATTATTTGTAATTTAGTTTTAATGAAACAGAGAGCCTAAAAACTATCATCACATACCTTTTCTTCTGAGAATTTTCACACACATCCAACCATTTGGAATGCAACAATGAAACAATTTGAGATTGAGCTATTCTTTACTATTCCAGCTATTTACAATACCAGCCCACATTGATGTATTTCCTGGAAGGCACATCAAATAATTTCTATAACTAGTGAACATGTATCACAGCTTACTAATGAAACATCTTCAACTTCATTTTTGGAAACAGTATATTTTCCACCACATCGGCATGTGAAAGAATAACAGCGATCATCTGTTGAAACAAAATAAACCAGTTTCAGTGATTCCTCATATATCACTGAAATGCTTATATTAAACAGAACCTGAATTAAATATTTAAGATAGAACAATAAACAATTTGTATAAGAAAGGAACCTATGGTATTTTATATTCCCACACGGAATGAAGTCAGGCAATACCCCCAAGAGAAAACGTTTTCAGTTGTGGTTGAGAGACGAGTTTGTAAATGCCTTGTGTGTTACAGCTTTTTGCTATTCTAGAAAGCCTGATAGCTAGAAGGGAAAAACATGGTAAAATACCCATACTTGAATCCACAGGTATGTTTACAATCACTTGCATATATTTACAAAAATCATTTTGCACTACTAATTGAAAGACTTTCTAAGTATCAACATATCAAGTCAGTTAAATATCACGTAGACAATAAATCATTACACAAAGCAATTTGCTGTACACCAAAACAGTATCAAAGCTGGGACAATAAAATAGAGCAATCAAAATGCACCAGTTTGTTATGATTAGAAAAGAATAATAAAGGGCAGCGATGTGATTACCAAGAACTGTTTCTTTTTACAAACTGTAAATTTAAATTACTTAAAAAGTATTTCATACAACACAAACATTTAACTGATGGAACGTGTGACAACAGGATGAGGTAATAGTTATTTGGTATGGATGCTTTTAAAAGAAAGCGAGACAATGCAATGAATGTTATTTCTAACACCTTCTGATTGACTTCATTTCTAAATGGAATCATCAGTTTCAGGGGTCACAAGATTCTGAATACAAGTTTCGGGGGTATAAACAAACAGCTGCTACCTCTGCAAGCTTCTTGCTTGCTATTCTAGCAGTGCTCATTTATACATTAATATTTCAGTTCACATATCAGGTGGTTTCACATAGCTTACTGTGATTCCAGGTCATATCTTCAAGTGAAATCTGAGTATCCACTGGACATCCTTGTTCTAACTCATATTCTATGAGAAAACAAAAATACATCATTTTCAGCAGCACTGTATAAGATAAAGGCTGTAAGCTCACAACAATATACTGATTTGTTTTCTGTTTTCTATTCATGAGCTCAAGAGGGAAAACAATATCTTCTTTCCACAACTGCTCTGTAAGGTAGCAGTGGACTGAGAACATGGTTCCAGGAAGTGGATGCAGTTCTGACAAATTTAGTTTTAAGTCATTTCTCCAAGAACTACTCATGCTTTTGATATGTAACACTAAAGCTCAACATTTCCCAGTCAATTATTTTTCTCCTGAAGCATGTTAGCACACTTTAGCATTTGTATGCTTCTCCTTCTAGCTATCATCAGGAAGAACAATACCAATGAACAATTTTTATTCTAGATATTACATAAAATAAGTTGATGAAAAATATTTCTTCTGAGACATAACCTTATAAGCATGTCAGATGTTTTCAACCACTGTATGCAGGTAAGTCTAAAAAAGACAGATACTTTTCTTTAAAATATATTTTTCATTTGTTGTCAAATGTTTATCTTTTTTTTTTAAATGTGCCTCCATAAATCTTTTTCTGGTTGCCAGCTCAGCCATCTATCTGACTGCACTTCTGAACACTGGTGGTGCAAATTGTATTAAGCCTTCATATCCAAAACTGAAAGACCCCTTCTCTCAAGAATAGTTAAACTGAGTGGGTGGGGATCAACAATCCACTAAAAATGTAAAACCTCAGCTAATTCAAGTAAATACCATACAATGAATCAACATTTGTTTTGCTGAAAAACAGAATTTCTATTCGTCTCACTCTTGGATGTCGTGTGTGTGTGTGTCCCATCTTGGTAATGTGTCCACCTGAATCCTTTATTTGACATGAGCCTGGGCAGTTAGCATTTGAGAAGCTTTGATGGCTTCCAGAGGCCCTGCTCCTCAACTAATCCAATGTAAATTCTGGTTGAAGTTAAGATCTGATATTACTATCTCTATATTTCCTACTGTAAGAAAAACCATACAACTTTGTGGAAATTATTGGTCCGATCCAAAATAGGTTTAAACTGCAACATGTTCTTTCCAGTGCAATAAAAATTTCAAAAATATCTACAGAGAGTATTATAGTTTATCTTTCATATTTATATAAAATATTTCTTATGTTTCAGAAAGGACAGTATGTGCTAATAGGTGCAAATGTGCTTTAGGGGGTGTATACATACACACATACAAATACATCTGATGGAGTTTAGACATATATAATAAAAAACAGGTTGGTTAATGCAATAATAGTATGTGATATTAATAAGATAAAATAATCACAATTAAGAGCACACAAAGCACTATATAATATGCAAACGCGAAGTGAAAAATGGGGTAGTAGCTAGATAATTAACTCATAGTATCATTAACACTGGCAAATCTATTAACAAATTATTTGAGATTTACAGTATAATAATGGTTTTCTGACAGGATAATAGAGTAGTCTCTATAGAAGATGCAACTTTATCATTCACTGCTTTGCATATGTAATTACAATTTCATATTTTTAAGTGAAATCTTAGTTTAAGTATTGGGATTCCTTGCTTTCTCAAATTAATAACAATTATTCAGTAAGATATGCTGCATAATATTAATATGTTACAGAGTTTAATGAATATTTAAATATTTAAAGGTACAAGATGTATTAATAGAATATCAAATAGATATAATATTTTAAAAGTTTAGAGATAAAAAATATATGGAAAGGGACACTGAACTTAGAATCCACATCAATATAAGGAAGAAATTGAATTAGAACATTCAATTTGAAGGCACACTGCTGAACAACCCTAAAGGTTTTATTAAGTGTTACTGTACATGCATTCCACAAGAAATTGATTCACATTTAATCAAAAACATACATGAACCTCCTGATTGAATATAAAAAATATTCTAGAACAAATGTTATACTGATGTTCTCCATTTTGGCGTATCCAATCTGCTACCACAATAGTTAACTATGAATAATGCATTGGTAGTGAAATTAAACACTTATTTTAACTGCCCTCATGTATTAGTGAAAAAAATTCTAATTAGCACTTTAATATTAAAGCATGATTACTCCCCCACGCAATTCATTAATTAGCGGCCGATTAACCAGTATCAAGTTGGGCTATGGTCTCTTTTTCCTTTTTGCAACCTTAAATTGTGATTCTAATTTTACCTGAAATCTACGCTACAGATCCCCAGGGAACAAGTTCCATCTAAATTAATCTTAATGAAGGCAATTAAAACAAATCAGACAAGTTAGAGATAATTACTGGATCAATAAAACCTCTCTGACCTAACCAATTCCGCACACCTTCAATAAATAAAACAGATACAATTAAAACAGTTAACCCTTTTACATCTAAAATTTTGCTGCTACCAAGAGAGAGAAATGAAAATGAACCATTATCTTTTAGTTATTGACTAATCTACTTTAGTAATAGTTCAAGAAGAAATATTATAATTTAGGTTTTCATTGGAGCTTGTTAAGGCAAGTATTTTCTTTTTGAGATCATTTTGTTCTTTAGAATGATATCAGTTCTTCATTATAATTGTGTTAGTTGTTTAATGTGATGTATGACTTTTCAAATGTTATACTTTTAAAAATGGTTCCATCCATGGTCATTTAGAACAAAGCTTACTGCTAAAAAGCCTATTCTTTAGGCTTTACTCCCAAGTTTTTCCTTCCCGATAACAAGAAATAAAATCATTCAAAAAAAAGAGATGAAGGTGGAAATGAGATATGGCTGCAAACTATGTTCTGTCTCTAATATGTGATAACAACATAAATGTATGCATTCTGCATCTTCTACCTGTACAAGCCCCACCCTTGAAGGTTTTACAAGCTGGCCCTTTCAGCAAGCCTTAGCTGTTAAAAGAGTTCATAATGGCGATGGGAAGCTTAAGGAAAAGAAAAAAACACTAAATAAGGACACATAAGAAGTACATTGGTAACTGAAATAAGGAAATATTCATGGCAAGGAATGTAGACAGTAGTGGACCACTTCAGAATATATTGACAAAGCCTCTGTCAAACAATCCAGAACATTAATAAAGGAGAGCAGCTCAGCGTGCTCACAATCAAGAGGCCCAGATTGCAGGCTGTTGGAGATGGCCTAGGACTGGTTGTCTTTCAGTTAGAGCAGAGTGAATTGTCAGAATACACTGGAGAGCTTACAAAGCAGTCCAGAACACTAGTATTCATATTAGAAGCCCAAGGCACTAGCCACTACCACATCCATCATGCTGGCAACTTTAGGAACTCCAAAAACATAAACACAAGGCTACGATAACAAGAGGATCAGGGGAAAGGGAATTGTCAGAATTTCCAATGTCCAAGCTGACAGATTTATGATATCAAACTGCACATTCTTTCTCCTGGCACACAAGTAACTGAGAAACTGAAGTTGGCTAGGAATGGCAAAAAAAACAACACACAAAAAAAAAAAAATTAGAACAGATTAGGAAACCCATTGTATACTATGGAATATAGTGTAGATTATACACTAAGAGTATACAATAAGGTTTAAAGGTTTCCCCCATACTGTCATGACTGACTCAAGAGGGGGAATGCTTATCTCTGATTATCAGCCAAGGGAGCCTGCATTGTCTAAGAGATGGTTCCGTCATATATGGCCTGTACGAAAATATGGAAAAGTGGCACCTATTTATCTACTTGCATTTGCGTGCCTTTGAACTGCTAGGTTGGCAGCAGCTGGGGTGAGCAACCCTGTTGTGCAGCACTCGGGTCATGAACCCGAGTTGTTGGCTTTCTAGGGGACAAGCCCAGTGTCTTAACAACTGAGTCATTGCATCTTACTTTGTTACACACATTTGACAGAATTTCTTAGAAGATGAATGAGACAGCTGCTTATATATTGTCTTTGTTGGATAATAAATTGTGCTTCTTGACAATAAAACCTAAATGAAATGCCTAAAAGACTGCTTCCTTCCGTAGGAAATCGCCCTTAATTTAAGATTTCCTTTGAAGACTTTTCTGTGTATCCTAATACCTGAGGTGTTTTCCTCCAACAAAAATAAGACAGAATCTGTTATTAGGTTTTTAGAAAGCATTAAAATATTAGTTCTTCATTGGTTATTATATAATTTTAAATACAACAATTGTGATCTGCTTCTTCCTACTTCTAATCTACTAATATTTTTTCTTTAACTTCTAAACTGTAATTTCCCTGAGGACTCTCCTATGGATGAAAAATAATGCAGTCATAATTTTATAAGTAAATACTAAATCACTATTAAAAGCAAAGTTCAGTAAAGCTTTACCAGGATTGCATGTGTCTGTGGAGAAAGATAAGAGAGTATTGCAAATGGAACTATTCTGTATGTCAAATACTGAAAAAAGTGCAATAAACTTTTTACTAGTCCATATTCTTTCAGGTATCAATAGTAGACCATAAAATAAATTTTGAATATGAGCATATCATAATCTATCCCCAACTCAATAATTCTATGATGAATCTTCAGATCAATAATCAAATTAAGAGTGTCCTTCACAGAAGAGTCACTATGTTAAACTCTTCCACAGAAGAAAACAACATATGTCCTTATGATTTCAATATGTTAAATGATCATGCCTTAGAAAAATTAGCTCTGATAGCAAAAAGTGAGATTATCCTAGATATAATCCTAAATAGTTCCTAGTATTTTTGCGTTGTACTGTAAATGCTACTGCCCTGATTCACTTTACTAAAAATATAATATCATGCTTTACTATGATACTTGGATGTATATATCTAATTATATATTTAAAAAGTTCCCAACAACACAACCACATATAAGTTTAAAAGTCCAAGCTTCCCAATATTTAAGATATTGAAGAAGGTGAAAAGGAAAATAAAGAAGATAAAGTCTCTCAAGAAAATCCCATTATTATTCAAAGCCAGTATTATAGAAACTTGCCTTAAATCTAAGATGGAGAAGATATAACAGGATGTTTGTATAGTTAATAAAGATAATCAGGGAAGGTTTAAGAAGATGGCTTTCAGATATTTTTATTAGAGCAAAAAGATGCATAAAGCATAGGAAAATAAATAGACAAGAAGGAAAATACAATGAATGCATCTAATGATGTTTACAAACTTTCAATTCCCATAAACATTACAATGTGAAATTCAGCTACAGAAGGCTACTGAGATTCTTTTAAAAAATGAAGGACTATCCATGTATCCAAATTAGCCTATAGAACAGAAGCAAAGGAGTGACAGGAGATAAATTGTAAGTCTTAATGACATGAAAAATGAATTACTTGGTCTAGATTATATTCACCACCATCATCGTTTTAGCCATTTGTCTATCCACTGCAGGATGAAAGCCGCTTCTGTTTGTTTCCAACCAATACGCTCTTGAGTTTTCTTTTCCCAATTCGGCCCACAATACTTGCTGATGTCAGTGATCTATCTTCTTTTAGGTCTGTTAAGGATGCTTATTATCAAGTGGAATCCATTCTATGCCTCCCATGGTCCACTTGCCATCAGTTCTTCTTGTTTGATGACCAGCCCATTTCCATTCCTTTACTCTCTTTTGTTTGTTCTCTAATCCCTGTGCAGGTCTTTCTATCTTGTCTTGTAATGCCGAGCATGTATCTTTCCATGGCTCTTTGCACCACTCTTTGCTTACATTCACCATAGGGTTCTTAAAGAAACAGAGTATGAAATTGATACTTAGAATAGAATAGAAAAACAGAGTTGGAAGGGACCTTGGAGGTCTTCTAGGCCAACCCTCTGCTTAGGCAGGAAATCCTACACCACTTCAGACAAATAGTTATCCAACATCTTTTTAAAAACTTCCTGTGTTGGAGCATTCACAACTTCTGGAGGCAATTTGTTCCACTAATTATTGTTCTGTCGGGAAATTTCTCCTTAATTCTAGGTTGGTTCTCTCCTTGATTAGTTTCCATCCATTGCTTCTTGTCCTGCCCTCAGATGCTTTGGAGAATAGCTTGACTCCCTCTTCTTTGTGGCAGCCCCTGAGATATTGGAACACTGCTATCATGTCTCCCCTAGTCCTTCTTTTCATTAGACTAGACATACTCAATTCCTGCAACCATTTTTCATATATTTTAGCCTCCAGTCCCTAATCATCTTTGTTGCTCTTCTCTGCACTCTTTCTAGAGTCTCAACTTTTTTTTTACATCATGGCAACCAAAACTGAATGCAATATTCCAAGTGTGACCTTACCAAGGCATTATAAACACTTCACGTGATCTTGATTCTATCTCTCTGTTAGCCTAGAACTGTGTTGACTTTTTTGGCAGCTGTTGCACACTTCTGGCTCATATTTAAATGGTTGTCCACTAGGACTCCGAGATCCCTCTTACAATTACTATTGAGCAAGGTATCACATATACTGTACCGGTGCATTGATTTTTCTTGCCTAAATGTAGAACCTTACTTGTTTTACAACTGAATTTCATTTTGTTAGATAGCACCCAATGGTCAAGTGTGTCAAGATCTTTCTTGACACAGATTTTATGCCTATCTTCTGGAGTGTTGGCTATTCCCGCCAGCTTGGTGTTATCTGCAAATTTGATGAGTTAGCTTGTTTTGTTATTTATTTAATTTGCAAGGTTTTTAAGCCACCAATTAACAACTCTGATGAGTGTACATTTCCTATCGTAAAATTTGATTAAACAATTAACATTGTTAACAATCCAACAAATATGTAGGAGAAAAAGAAAAACATAAAACAAAAACCAAACAAAAGCGAAAACAAAGAAAAGGAATACCACAATTAATAGTCCCAAGATGAAGCTCCATTATTCCTCAGTGGTAGTAATTATAACATTCCTGCACCCATGGCTGGTTTTCATGGGCTTTCAAAATGGTCACTTTTAAATCACAGCAAAGTTGTAATTAAAATGTTCATCTGAACTATTTGACCATCTTTAGTAGAATATGAAAAGACAGTCTTAAAGAAAAATGTTGGAAGACTAGCATATTGGCGAAACTGAAATGAACACACATTTTACAAATTAATGAAAAACTTTAGAAAAGAGAAGTTAGCAAACATAAGTGCAGTAAAAAGACCATGTGAATCATTTGTGAGCAGAAATAATTGGATTTTAGATATACATAGAACTGCAAGCAAGGAACCTAATAAAACTTATATAATCTTAAATTTACATTTTACTGAAGAGACATCTAGAAGTAATTAGATTTAAATGTATGCCTCACAAATCAATGAAACAACATTTTAACAAAAGATGAATAAGAGTCAGAGTTACATATCTCCTGAGAAAATTTGGCAATGTATATAAATTGTGACTTAAAGAGGCAGCAAATAAGCTCTAACAAAATTATTGTGACACTTAATTAAATGTTTGAAACTTCTCGCTGAAACTTTCAGTATATTTTTATTAAATAGTTTCTAAGAAATAGTTGAATCCCTATAACTATTTTCTTGGAGCTTCATTTGCTGCTTCTGTAGATGTACTTAGCAAAACAATTAAGTGCAGATAGCCCTCAACTTCCAAATGGAATTGAGTCTGGAATCCTGATTGTAAGTCATGCCTGTTGTTAAGTGGGTCATAATGTGACCTGATTTTACACTTTTTTGCAGCAGTCATTAAGTGAATCAGATGGTCATTAAGTGAACCCATTATCTCTAATGGTTTTTTTTTGTCAGAAATCAGAAGTAAACACTGGTCACATACATTGTGGTCATGGAACCATGGGATGCTGCAAATGGTCACAAATACTGACTAGTTACTAAGTGTTTAAAATGCAATCTTGTGATTGGGGGCAGCTGTGTAGAAGTACATGGGGTGTGTGTGTCATTTTAACTTCAAACAGTTGCTAAGCAACAAGTTGTAAATTGAGACCTACCTATATTCAATATTGCAAACAACGTATATATGCATTTACTCTTGATAAGTTGGACTGACCATGGCTGATGTCGCTTTGTTTTTTAACATTTTGCTATACATTGAAGAAATAAAAATAAAATAAATCCCATTAACAGAACATATGCCAGAAATCTTCATAAATGTGTCTATTCATAAACTAATAAATGCTGCCCAATTAGTTTTTCTTGGTTCAACAAGCTTAGGAGTTGTGTTCCAATTGTTTCTGGTGGTTGAGGCAAGATTTAAATAAAGAAGCCGCTCACTATAGTTGGTTTTATGTTATATCCTAATTGGGATTACTGGCTTGTTATTCTTTTATATTCAGTGCCAATCTCTGTTCCTGGAATTGCTTTCTAACTACACATTTTCAGGATAGTGAGAAAACAGTAAGTCAGGAATCCCAGCTTGGAGATAATGCTGACTACCATTCTGATAGTTTAATCACTTCTACTGGCAGAGACATCCCAATGAAGGAAACAGTTAATACATCAGATTTAGCTAAAACAAAAGCTACTTTATCCTAGGCATACATGTTGCCATTCCTGTGATTGCAGCAAGGCCTAGCATGTAGATTACTATTAAATAACTTCTTTCCATCAAAACTGTCAAACCTCTCAGAACGAGAAGAAACGCACGTCAGTGGCCATGTTCAACCAAATCAAATAAATCTGGATAAGTTTTAAATATTTAAAGATTTACGTCTAGGAAAACTTTACTAAATAAATAATAAAATCTTTATTCTCCACATTTGATTATACTTTTATTTCAAATGTAATTATGTAATACGTTTGAATGAAATAATTTTCATCAGTTGTTACAAAAGGGGGGCTTTTCCCCTCCTTAAAAGCAGAGCTGCTTCTTCTTCTTTTGCCTAACAAGCGCTAATTTTTTACTTAGGCTTTAAGCCATACGATTAGATCAAAAATTATTTTGTCCATTGCACATTTTCAAACAATTAATGAACAAAAATAAGCTTGTCTACACAGTATATTATATGTATCTGCCAGCCACGCTGACTAAGCCTTTGTTTCTCAAATAAAATTGTGGCAACCTTCACAGCAGGGAAGTTAAAAAGGTTTGATGGTGTGCCAACGTACAATGGAAGGGAATTCAATAACATGCTGCAGAGACAGTGTGTCTTTTATCAGACACACTAAAAAGTGGTGGTAGCTACACGTCAATGCTGAACCAGAGTGTGTTACTTCAGAGTGCAACTGAGTGTTTTCCCTACAGGCAATACACTATTATTGACTCCCCCCATTAACATGGAGGGTGGATATACATTTATTGAAGGTTCTAATGGAAGGCTGAGGGACTCCTATCCTGAGGCCAGAGCAGAAAGACAGCCTATCACGTCATGTAATGGTAGCCCATGTGTGACAGATCTGACCTACATTTCCCCTTTTCCTTTTCACAACAGCCTGTCACTGTTTTACAAAGCTGTATTTCAAGAGATATACAAAAAGGTATGCTGGAACTGCCTGGTTAAATGAATTGTGGTTATAACTTGCTTGCTGAAAACTAGCTGGCATCAGACATGCCTTATGAAAAAAAAATATATCCTAGGACAGCACTTGATTTGTAAAAGGTGATAGAAAGAATAGTTTAATTATTGCAAAGTGTTCATAAAACCATATGCTGCAGGATACCTTTGACATAAATTACTCAAACTAATTTAAAATGTAACAGTGGAATGTAGCAAAGGGCGTGACTCCAGTAATTAAGAACATTTAGTGAAAATGCTTTAAATACTGTCAAATGAAGAATGGCTAAATGAAGTCATTATTATCTAAATGCTACATGCATTTAGAACAGTTATCACCTAACGCTTTGTCGAAAATAACTTAATGTTTTTAACTGCCTAATGCAGATGTGGCAATCAGTATAAATATGAAATCTAAATATGAAAGCAAGATAGAAGCAAATGAAATGTTTTGGTTGAACAAATAATATTTCAGAAACTAAACTATTCCCACACTTTCGACCCATTGAGAGCTTCTGCTGCTACTACAGCACTCCTCGGTAGGAACCTACCACGCCGCTGCAGGTCATACTCTTTTTTTGTCTCTTCATTTCCTAGAATTTTCCATGCTCGATCAATTTCGATGAACCTCTGCATGCGTGCCTCTGCTTCTCCTGCTGGCACATCTGTGCTCTGTTTGTCTGGATGATACTGCCAGTCAAAAAAGGAAAGTGAAAAGAGGAAAAAGAAAAAAAAGAAAGAGGAGGGAAGGAAGAGAATCAATAATAAATAGGAGATCTGCTGTGAGGTGTTTGGACACCATAAAGGTTAGACCACGGTGCCATGAAAAAAAACAAAACAAAGGGAACAATGCTGGCCAGAAGAGACTGCTGCCAGGATAATTAGGCTACTGCAATAGCAGCAAATACACCAGTGGCACAAATGTCACAGTGTGCACTGATAGCATTTTCTGGATAATTTGCCGATGGAATCACTGGTCTTATGGACAATTTACCTCAGGAGAATGATTAATGCAAAGAGAAACAAAGATTCACAAATTAAAACAAGATGGAACTGGAAGCTTATTATGTAATACAGACACATTCAACTTGGTTAGTAAATACAAATTATATCACACTGTCAATGTTTACTGTCCATTTAAAATGCTTGTTTGAACTGTGGGGGGGGTATGGAGTTGAAACAGTTAACAAAACACTATTAAATGTAAATAGTTTGACATATACGTAGTGCTATTTTGGAACAGATAGTTTATAACTTTAATGTATTTCAATACAATGAGTAAAAAGCCCAAATTATTAAAACCTATAGATCAATGCATGTATTTTATATCTGATAATAGAGGTAGGATACAGGGTATGCAAAATGCAGGTAGTCCTTGATGTATAATCTTTCATTTAATGACTGTTCAAAGTTACAACAGCATTGAAAAAAGTGACAGGACCATTTTTTGCACTTACAACTGTTGCATAGATGTTTTAATTGAATACTGAATATATGGAACAATAGAAGCACAGATCAGTATCATATAAATTACACAGCTGGACTAAAATCCTAGATTAGAAATTAAACCAATAATAGATTAAATCAATGATTTAATCATGATTTGTTATTTCATGGGGATAAAGGTACTATTATAGTTTGTTTTTTGAACACAGAATTATTAATGTTCCCCAAAGCTTCTTCTTGTTTTTAGTACTTGTGGATCACAGTAAGACAGGTACAAAAATATAAATCTAACTTTACAGAGAGAATACATGGAAGAATCTCAAAGTGACTTGATCTTTACAAAATATAAAATTTATACTGGTAATGCAATAGAAGAGGCAATGAAAGACTTTGTCTTAACTTCTTTATTCTCATGGCACCATCCATAAATATATTTTGAACTTGTTCCATAGTGTTCCATAGTGTTATTTCTGAAGGGGAATCAATATGATCAAGCAAAGAAAAATCATGCAATGAACATTTATGCATGTATTATTTCCAGACCATTGACCATACATTTGAAAATATATTTTCCCATTCATTTTTTTCTGGCAGAATTGATAACATTTCAATAGTATAAACTTGAACCCCAATGAGTTTTTGGCATGCTGTTTGCTGAAAAATAAAGATCAAAATCCATAATTGGATGGATACTACATTAATTGGGACTAATCAAGACGGCACGAAGAAATGTGCCAAGGAGAATTATTACCAAGCAGCGTGTCCCAAAGGTGTTTTTTCCTGAGGCAACTGGGGAATGATGCTGAAGTGGTGCAGTGTGGGGCTTGAGGCAACAGCAGTGGCAGCCCTGGGGATGAAGCAGAGGCCTGGAGGCAGCGGCAGCTGGGCAAGGCTGTTGCAGGCCTGGCCCTCTTCAGCTCCAGCTCTGCTGGCTATGAGTACCATTGTGCAGAATAGAGAAAAGGGCATAGATTGGGGAGAGATTGGTTGTAGTGGGGGAGTTGCAGCAACCCAGCAATTGTAACTGCATGTGGGCTACTAAATGCCCAAATTCTGATCGTAGGATCACAGTTTGCTGAATGAATGGTCGTAAGTTGAGGATTACTTATAGTTCTACACCTGACACAGTAAAATTGCAATGAAGTAGCATGTCATTTAAGAATGCAGAGAATAGGTTAGTAGCATTATTATTTTTTTCATTCACTCTTTCTGAAAACAAAGGAACGAAAGGAAGCCAAAATGAAACTACAAAACAATAATGTAATGAGTTGCAACATATTTAAATTGCTAATGGAAAGGTCTAATATCTAATTATTAATTGATTACTTCAAATACTGAATAATATTTTAGGGAAAAGAACAAAATTATAATATTTCTGATACTGACATGTAAATAAACATTTCATTTTTACACACTGTGTTTCAATTTTTAAAAATTTAGTTTTAGGAACATAAACATAAACAATAGTGATGTTTATATAAATATTGTTTCCACCATTTACATTTCTGAGGCAATACAACTGACCTATACCTAATCTTATTTTAGATAATAAGGATTTCCCATCTAGCCAACTCACAACCTTCTTCCTACCAATTGATTCCATATTGTTGCAAAAAATGTTATGTAATGTTTTTATTTGATAAATATTTTAATCCTTTTTAAAACAAACAAACTATAATCTATTATTCCAGTGGTCCCCAACCTTTTTTGTGCCGCGGCCTGGTACTGGCATCACAAAATCATCTGCGGCCCGGTACCGGCATCAGCACGCATGGCAAAGCGAGCTGAGCAACTGGCCAGCCAGCCGTCCCCCGCTTCTCCCCGCCACCTTCAACTCCTCCTTTGTACCTGTGTCGATGGGCTTCGCGACGGCTTCAGGATGGTCGCTCGGCTCGCCTTGCCATGCATGCTGAAAGAATCCTCCCGCCTTAGTTTTGTTCAAAGCTGCCCCCCCCCTGATGAAACTAAGGCGTGAGGATTCTTTCAGCACCCAAACGCCGCTTTCCAACCAGAAAAGCTCACCGGAAGCACTTTTTCATCAAAACAAGATGGCGGCGCCCAGCAAACCGGCGGCCCAGTAGAAATTGTTCCCCGGACCGGTACCGGTCCCCGGACCGGTGTTTGGGGACCCCTGTATTATTCACTATAGGAGTATGAACAGTGGATAATTGCCCACATCTCATCTTAGCCAAAGGCTAGCTGAAATCTGCAAATCAACTATTTAGATAGCTATTAGGAAACACCCCCCCCCCCGCCCAAGCTCCCTCCACTGCCATTGCCAGAGAGCTGCTATTGCTCAGGGTGAAACTCCTGGACCTATACAGAATGATAGACATCCTGGCTGCCCACATACCTGAGGGTCTTCCCTCACTTTCTTCCTTGTTCTTCTCAGCAGCACCCCATTTTTCTCTTATTGGATCTTGGATCAGGTTTTTCTTTTTGATTATTTAACATTTGTTTTAAATACACAGGAATTGTATTTTTGTGAGCGCCCCTGTGCTGCTGAATTCTTTTCCTCTCTAATTAAGTTACTGAATAGTTTGTCATAATGCCTTAGAAAATCTCATCACAGATTGTCACCCAGAGAACATGTCTATCAAGTCAGACTCAGTTAAAGAGAAACTCAACTTTAGCCACTGTTGCTAAATGCCATGCCACCTTCCAGCCACCTTTGCCAGCTGCAAAGATTCAAGGTTCAAAAGTATCTTGATGGACTTGAACAGTGGTGTGCCACAGTTGCCAAAAGGGGCGTTGGTCCTACCTGATACACCTCTTCTCGGGGAGTCGAAGGGAGAATCCAGGATGGATAGTCTCTAATCTCCTAGCTCTGCAGACCGAGTTGAAAAACTGAGGACACCCCCCCACCCCTGGTAACGGTTCCCAGTTCTGAACAAAGTTGAAGCAAATTCCAGTGTCCATCATCTTCTGAAAGATAGTCTACTTGATGAAACCCAAAAAAAAATTCCATCCTGACTCTGACCAGACAGAATACAGGGTGGGACTGGATTCTCCATTCAACTCCCGGAGAAGAGGTATATCAGGTAAGACCAACACCCCTTTTCCACAGCTGCCAAAAAATGAAATCCTAGGCTTCATCAACAAAGAGACAGCATCAAGGATCATAAGAAGTGGTAGCACCATCTATACTGCACTAGTGAAGCCACACTTGGAATACTCTCTCCAGTTTTGGTTGTCACGATTCCCAAGATGCTGAGATGCTGGAAAAACTGCAGAGAAGAGCAACAAAGATGATAAGCAGTCTGGATGCTAATGTGCTAATGGCTAAGGGAACTAGGTATGTTCCCTAACTAGGTATGCCTAGTCTAATGAAGAGAATGATTAGGGGTGACATGATACCATTAAAGATTTTATGGGATTTTCCCCAATTCCTGTTCGGTTTTCTGCATCATCTACTTTTTTATGAATATGCACTTTAGAGCTAAAAGTCTCTGCCCCTATGATTATTAAATCTGAGAGAAGAATTCAATTCATAGGATCTCTGGATTCAAGTCAAATTCTTCATTTGAGGTTTTGCCCTGTATTTTATAATGGCTCACGGTAATTATAAACAAAACTTCATTGTGGAAAATTCAGAAGAAAGAACACAATTCTGAGGAGAAATAATCAACCATTTATGCAAGGATAATTGAATCCAAATTTTACAAGAAAAAGAAACTCAAATAATGAGAAAGCAAAGATTTCTACAGAAGTTGAAATCTATAACTTGAATTTCCCATCCTACAGGGTGGGAAATCCAAGGAATCTGATTTGTTGGCAATTTGGGGGGAACATAAGCAGGTCTTCAATGGTACATATGGGATTCTTTCTGTTAGCCAAAACAGCTGCAGACCTTGGAAAGTCCATTGTTAAGAAGATGGAACACTAGCGTGTTCCCAATGAACATGAAGTGTGTGTGTGTGTGTGCACGCGTAAACAATTCTATATAAAATAATTACAGATAAAATATAACTGGTGAACTGGAAAAATACCAATGAAAAAGCAGAATATCAGGTAAGTAACTGTTCCTTAGAAGGTAATGGAGGTAACTGATGGAGCACATGATTTAAACACCTGCTCCTCATTTTACTTCTAACAAAATCCATGGGAGATCCTCAATACATCACAGGATAGTTCTTTGGTGAAAAAAAAAAAACCCTCCATTTAAGATCTTTTGGTTTGGTTACTATACAGACTTAATGACTTGCACATAAAAGGTCTTGTACAACAGCTAGCTCTTTGCTCTG